GTAAATACTCATTTTGTCCTTCTTCCTTAGTCACAGAACCCAACATTATTTGGGGCAAAAATGTGCCCAGCTAAAACACCGTAATTCTAGCCTCTTTTGCAGTCAGGGGTGGTCATGTGGCTCAACATTGGCCATGGAGAAATCTGAGTGAGATTTGGGAATGGCTCTTTGAAGGGAGACATCTTAAAGTGTCATGTACCCTTTTTGCTCCTTCTCCTCTTTCTTTCCTTCCTGGAATATGGCTTTGATGGCTGGAGCTGCAGGAGCTATCTTGTGACCATGAAGTGACCCTGAGGATGGTCAGTGCTAAGAATGGCAGAACAGAGAGAAAGAGGTCAGGACACTGATGACATTATGGAGCCATCACACTGACTCTGGATTGCCTACAGCTGGACTTACTTTGCATGACAAAAAGATATCTTTGTCTAAGCCACTGTTACTTGGGGATTTCGTTACTAGTAGACAAACACAATTCTTATCTGACAAGGTTGAAGGCTGGTGTGTGTGTGTGTGCGTGTGTGCATGCGTGTGTGTGTGTGTTAGACGGTGGAACACAGAGCAAATGGATTAGGGGGTTGAAGTTCTTTGTTGCTCTAAAGTCATTTGTGAATTAAAAAAAATTGAGAATCACAGCTGTAAGAAACCAACCTAGATATTTGTGACCAGAAAATCTATTACTCTTCAGATGAGTGTCTACATAGTGCAAACTCATTGAATGCAAATCGATCCGATTCTTCCCTACACCTTGTTGACCTTGACAGTCTTATAAAGGCTGAGGTTTGCATTTGATGCCATTAACAGTTTTTATTGAAGGAGGAAAATACTTTCTTAATTCATTTCAGGTTTAAGATAGATTCTGCAAACATTGATGAAAACATGAAAGGCACTTAAATAAGTGCAAGTATCTCGGACAACATGCAATGCCCTGTATTATATTGTGTTCACTGTTGTTCAGATTTAGGGCTTTGAATCCACTAAGAATTTAAAATGCCTTTTTTTCCCCACCCTTTCACCCCAAAATGTTTGACTAGTGTGAAATACCAAAACAGAATACCCTGGGCAAATGGTAAGCGAGGCTTTAATCTTCCTTTCTTTCTTTCTTTCTTTCTTTCTTTCTTTCTTTCTTTCTTTCTTCCTTCCTTCCTTTCTTTCTTTCTTTCTTTCTTCTTTCTTTCTTTCTCTTTCTTTCTTTCTTTTCTTTCTTTTTTTCTTTCTTCTTTCTTTCCTTTCTTTTCTTCTTTCCTTCCTTCCTCCCTTCCTTCCTTTTTTTAACTGCAGCCTAAAACCATCTCCATTCATGTAGAACCCAGAAAACATGTCTCTTTGGATAGGCCATATGGCTTCTTGGTGTAACTATCCATCTTAACATATCTAGGGCAGATAGAGAGTTATTCATTTATGTCTTCATCAGCAATACCAAGTGTCTCTTAAAAAGTCAACAACGGATAGAAGAAAAGTCTTCATGTTGCACAAGATGCCCATCTGTTTTCCAACCCATTCTGTATGTAATTCCTGGGGTTTATGAGATTTAAAACATAATTCCAATTAAGGCCATTTATCTAGTTTTGTGGCAGCTGCAAATTCAGTTGCTCCAGAAACAATCTAATCTTCAGCCTCCCAATTATTTTCAATGGCTGGATTAATGTACTAACCACTCATTTGAAAATCCATCTTGGCTGTAGAGTGAGCACCGTACAGTGGGCAACTAGACAGAGGATTTACTGAGTTACAAAAAACCAGTAGCATCTTTGACATTTATTTGAAAGAAAATGACGTTTCAGCTTATTTAATATTTCAATAACTTATTCTTAGAAGACAGACGGGGGGTGCATTTCAAGGGAACAAATGGGGTGGTTTTTGATGCAGCCACATGAAAAACAGTATACAAGGCCATACCAGAGCTCCAGGACAGGTGGAGGGGACCAGGGGAATAAGAATTCATTTGAAAGGCTCTCTCATTTGGACAGGAATATGCTCGACTCCCACAACTTATAGGTACTTTATAAAAAATGTAAACATCGATTTGATTTAGGCTCAGCTTCAAAACAGTTTAAGGCATTAATCAGAAAAGTATATTTGACATTTCTTCCCTTTATTCTCTTTTCTTACATGATCAAGAACTAAACAGGTAAGGCAGTAGTCATGTGGTTGAATGAAAGACAACTAACTTTGGAAACTTTCCTTAAGCAACGAATGTGAATTCCTGATACTGTCTAGCTAACTCAAAACCACAAGCCAAGGTGGAAAAGCACTGGGTTTCTGGTGAAGAGGATGATTGTGGGCAGAGCTCAGGAAGGGGGCATCTGAGTTACAGCTCCCCTCCTTGGGGAGCAAGGAGGCTCTGAGACCCGCAGAGGAGCCCATCAGGCTGTGCCCTTCAGAAGCCTCCATACCCACTGATGATGGTCCCCGAATGGCTTGAGGTCCAGCATTTCCCCACAGATGTTTTTACAGGCTCCGGTGCCAGGGACACTTCCTGTCAGTTTAGGCAAATTCATATCCTTGCTGTTGAATCAGATGAGAAGGCCCAGGCCCAGGGCAGTAAAAAGCTAGGGGCGGCTTTTGAAAACCCATTCAGGTCCAGTAGAAGCATGGCTCATAAAATGGGGTTCGCCTCTCATTTGGAATCCCAGTCAATAATCCTAAACACAATAGGGGGGAACTGCGGTGCCCTTGGAGGGGGTGGCGCTGAGCGAAGGACTCTTGCTTTGTGCTATTCTGGGCCAGAACAGGTATTTGGCATTTTGCTGGCACAGGGTGGGGTTATGGCATCATCCTCCCAGGCTGAAATAATTACATGTGCAAGCTGGAATGGGCACTTTTTCAAGTGGGCACAGCACAAACGCTGGGCCGATTATCCCCATGCCCAGAATGCGATGTCATTCTGCCCTTTCAGATGCAGGCTATCGGCCGCCCTGCTGCTCCATCCAACGTCCTTCTGAGGACCAGGACATTCAGGCTCAATTCAGCCTCCGAGTGCCTGGGAAGTCTGCAGTCCCTGGCACACTCCTGGGAGGATGAAAGCAGATGAATTTTTAAACAACAAAGTGAGGCTGTATGTGTGTGCGTATGTTTGATAATGGTCCAAACTTTAATAGCATGGTAAAATATTTATCTTACTTTTATAGCCAGCATGCAATCAATCCATAGCACACTGACAGAACTGAGAAAGATTGAGGTCTATACTCAGCCACAGCTTGATGGAACCACTCAACGTTTAAAAAATATATACATTTATCAGTTAATGGGAAATGCAGACCCATCGCTAGAAGTCACTTTCCTGAGATCAGGGGAAGAAGGGAGCTCCCAGGATCACAGTCCTTCATTCTGCAGACTCTCCCCTCTTTTCTAAGCCACAGAGTAAAGGGCTATATCTCTGGTTTGGGGTTTTAAGAAGTTAATTGTCTTAGCAAATTGGCCCATTCAAGTTAATCTCCCTCTTGGACACTGAGTAGCCTTGAATAGCTTTGTTTCGCTGAAATTCCCAATCCCCTTTTTGATAAATGATGTCAAGTGCGGACAGGAGACAGGGTTGGGGTGGGTGGAGGATCGGTAATAAATATTATGTAAATATTGATTATTAAAGACAAATGAAAGATCCTTACTTCTTGGATTTTATCATAAGGAGGTGGAAAGAGGGACCAATCATGGGAAATCAGCAACTACTGAATTAGATGATGTTAGAAATGGAAAGACTCAAGAGTCCATTGTCTTCATCTTCCAGATGAAGAAACTGGGAATGGACCGAGCCGCACAGATACTGGAGTGGGAACTGATCCATCCTCTCCCCAGGGCCAAAGCTCTCCCAGGGTCTCCGGGCAGCAGATGGAAGGAGGCAGAAAGTAGAGGGTTAGGAAAGTTACGGAAGGCACATTGTGGGGCTGTTGCTTCTTGCTCACAGGCGGTGCATGCAAGGAGAGAATCCCTACGGGTTTGTGACTGTGAATGTGTGTCTGGCTGTGTAAGGAAGAGCTCTGTCCCCCTTATTATAAATTCCAAGTGAGCACAAGGAGTTCGGAAGTCCAGGAGATCAACAATGGCTACCCATCATTTACCTTTCCTGTTTTCTATTCGAATAGTATATACAGTATGAAAAGTACAGATGGTGCCAAGACACCACCATGCAGGAATTCTGTGGTTATTTTCAGCACAAAAGATTTCTCCACCAACAAAGAATTGGCTTTATTCCAAATGAGACTTTAAATTGTGCTTTTCTTTTTCTTTTCTCCTTTCCTTTTCTATAAAATGGCGACTCTTTCGCAGGAGAAATAGTTTTTTTCCATAAATGCAAACCGTTGGGGGTGTCTTGTGTTTCACATGGTTGTGAGGAGCCCCAGCTTGATTTTGAACTTGAGTCGATTTGGCTGTTGAATTTATCATCTGGAAAGAAGCGGGGACAGAGCCTGCTGAGTCCCTGCAGCTGCCTCCAAAGTGACTTACTCCCCAAATACAGAGCCAGCTCCCTTCTTGATGATAAATGAACTGAACGAAGTGGTAATTTTCTTAATTCCATTCTGCTTTGTATCTGGGTAAGAATGATGATCTACATGATCGGGGCCCAAACGTTAAGCCGGTTTCTCCTCCTCATTTTCTGACACCTGAGGAGGACCTCACGCTGCCCTTTCTGAGCACTGGCCATACAGAGCAGGACCCAGACGATGACCCCATGGTGGCCCTCCTCCCTGCGAGCCCTCTCCCCTCTCCCGTGGATTAACTGCCCTGTGGCAATCTGTCAAAATGGAGCAAATTCTGCTAAGACTGTGTTGGAAAGAGACGATTAAAGAAAAAAAAAAAGAAAAGAAAAAACCACTGTTGGAAAGCTACCCTCTTACCTGAGAAATCATCCCGTAAATCCCCCCTTCCCCCCCATTCAAAGATTTTATTTGTGGCTGTTTGGAGACCATTCCTTGCTAGGGATACTTCGATAAAACCTCCACAGGCCATCCAGATGACTGTGTTGTCACTGAAGCTGTTAAGGATAACTGTACGCAGATCCAAAATAACAGAGGACGTCATTTTATTGGCTGTCCACAGGAAGTTTGGTCACACAAGGAGGTGGAAACTGTGGCAGGCGTAGTACAACACAATAGCTCATCTAACTACTAAACAGAAGGTTAACTGATACTTGATAGGCTAAAACCCCAGCAGCCCTCTGCAGCCCGGGCGCCACCTACCCCTGTCTAAGTAAGCTCAAGAAGCGGGCGAGTGATGCCATTGTCCATTAGCCTCGGTGTGTCGCACTGTCTTCCCATAAAACAGCACTGGAAAATTCACCAAATTAGAAGAAAGAAAGCAAGCAAGCAGCATTTCCTTTTGAATACCAACACCACTTGTAAACAGACGTAGCGTGGCATGCAAATCCAGATCTGGTCATTTTTTTTTCCCCCTTTAGGTTTTTGGTTTTGTTTTGTTTTTTTGTTTTTTTAATTAACAAATGGAATGGTATGTCTGTTTCAAATATTAGTAGCATAACACGGAAGTGCAAATTCAGTCTGGCCACCAGTGTCCTCAACCTTCCCACGTGTCTGTCCCGAGAGCCCCGGGCGGACCGCAGAACATCCAGCCGAACACGGTCCTTTCCTCCCAGACTCGGCCTGCAGCCCCGGAGACTGCTCCTTTCTCCCCAGGCCCACCCCTCAAATGCCAATCGCCGGAAAATAGCCACTTTCATTAGTTATTAGATAGCCATTTTCATTGTTATCAAAGCAGTCAGGGTGGGGAAGAAAATTCAACTCGACCCAAGCCGCAGGCATTGTGGGCCCTGCCCTCCTCTGCCCTCTGAGGAGGATCCATCTGCTCTCCGAGGGGTCTTGGTGCTCCAGGCCCCGGAGTCGTCCTCACCCACCGGGGAACTGGGTCATGAGAAAGCTCCCGCCATCTGCCACCCCCCCTCCCCCGCCCCCTTGGGCTGTGGTCACACGGAGCTGAGCTTCACCAGGCCGCGCACCGAGTCCTCGTGCAGAGAGTCCTGGCTGGCCAGACCCAGCACGTGCATGGTGCGGCTGTGGGCCAGGGGGCTGCCCGCCAGCATCCTGGGGGGTGAGGGCGCTTCCTCTGGGGTCAGGAACTGGTGGCCCACGTGCTCCTCTTTCAGGGGCAGTACGTCTGTGAGCGCGGCCTCGGCGGTGAGGCTGGGCATGGAGGAGGGCGGCGTGGGCTGCCCGAGAGTCAGGCTGGCGCAGGGCGTGCCCAGGCCCGGCTTCCCGGGCAGGTGCAGCTCGTCGCTGGTGAGGCTGGGCTCGCTCTGCAGCAGGGGTGTGGCCGCGGCCTGCAAAACGAATTTGGTGCTCTGAATGCACTGGTCTTGGTCGCACTGGAGAGCAGGGGGGAGCCAGCGAAGAGAAGGCGGAGGTGCGCCCGGCACAGGGTGGGGGGGAAGGGAGCACAGGGAGGAAGAGGGGAAGGGGATGGGGAAGGGAGGGATGCGCGCGAGAGAGAGAGAGAGAGAGAGAGAGAGAGAGAGAGAGAGAGGGAGGGAGAGAGGGAGGGAGAGAGAGAGAGACCCGTTAGTGACACCTCGGTCAGGCAAGGCAGAGAGCGTGCTCAGTAGCCCGGCATCAGCCGGAGACACCCAGCGCTCGGTGAATACCAGCGCCTGCACCTAAATCAGCCGCTGGAGGGACTCATCACCCACAGGGGCCCAGGGAGTCATGTGCAGCCGGAGGCCACCATGCTCCTGGCCCTTGGTCCCAGACACGACCTAATTAAGAAACAATCCCAAGGACAGAGTCACAGGCCTTACCACCTAGAGCTGTCTCCCGTGGCTGTCGCTCGCACACTGAAAACCACTTTGACTCTATCGTTTTACAAATACAGGGGCCTGTACCCACGCTCATAGCAGTGTCAGTCACAACAGCCAAAAGGTGGAAGCCGGGGTCCGTCCACAGATGAGCGGACCGACGGCATGTGGTCTGGACAGACAATGGACCGCGGCTGAGTGCAGACGGGAGGGAAATCCTGACACATCCTACGACACGGATGGACCCTGGGGACATGGTGCTGAGTGAGGTAAGCCAGTCACAAATGGGCGAATGGTCTATGATTCCACTTCCATGTGTACCCGGAAGACTTAACTTCCCAACGACAGAAAGTAGAAAGAAGGGGGGGGGTGCCCGGGCCTGTGGGGAGGGGAGAGGGAGCCAGTGTGCCTGGGGACAGTCTCAGTTTTGAGAGATGAAGAGGCCTGGTGATGGACGGTAGTGCTCTTGGCACAACCCTGTGAGCGGACTTATTGCCACCGAACTGTTCACTGAAAAATGGTTAAAATGGTAAATTTTGTGTTTTGTATATTTTACTACAAAAAAGAAAGAAAGAAAGAAAGAAAGAAAGACAAGCCCCTCAGGGTCTGATCAGACTGTTGTTCACAAAGCCCCAGAATTCCCCACTGCTAAATTTCCATCCACTTCGAGAACCGTTAATTGAGCTTCTGTGGGTTTTTTTAATCTGTGAAAGAGAATGCCAACATTTTACAAGATGTTTCCTTTTCTTCTAAACGTTCTTATGTCTTAGGCTACACCTCATGTCCTTTCCCTCACTTCACTCACTGGGCAAAAGAAATGGTGTAAACATATTTTTAGCTGCTCGATTGTGGAACGTGGAGCGTGGAACCCTCCCTGGAGCAATGGGGCAGGTTTGGGATCAGCCAGAAGAGACCTCGGTGGCACTCAGAGGACTTGAACTTGAGTGTGTCCAGTAAGTCCTTAGGGATTTTCAGGAACCACTCTTCCACTGGAAGGAGGAGGAACGGGTGTGACTTTAGGTTCAAGCGGTAAGCTAGGCACTGCACTGAGTTTCTTCAGAAGTTCTTAGAACAAACACATTTCCCCTCCTTGCCAGTGAAGACCCTGAGGCTGAAGTGAATGAGTGGCTTGCTCAACCTTACAGATACGAGTAAGACAAGGACCCAGGATCTGGGTTTGCTTGACTGGAAACCTCTTTCTACTACTGCATGTGACACACAGTAGATACTTCATAAACCTTCCTTGTCTTATTATCCCCTCCGCTCTTTTTCAGAACGTTCGCCTGAGTTCCTGTAGGACCTGTGCTAATGGCTTTGCGATGGAGGTGCCTCACCATCCTGCCCCGGGCACACCCAGAGCTGCCATCACTAACCCACCTCCACGCAGGGAACAGCACAAACCATGCACCATGCAGCCTTCCGGGAGGAGAGAGAGTTCATCCAAGTTCCAACTCACTAGGACTTTCTTTTCTTTTTCTTTCTTTCTTTCTCTTTCCTTCCTTCCTTCTTTTTAAAAAATATTTTGTATTTAAATTCAACTTAGTTAACATGTAGTGTATTATTAGTTTTAGTTTCAGAGGTAGAGGTCAGTGATTCATCAGTTGCATACAACACCCTGTGCTCATTACATCACGTGCCCTCCTTATGCCCGTCACCCAGTTACCCCATCCCTCTTCTCACCTCCCCTCCAGCAACCCTGTTTGTTTCCTATAGTTTGGAGTCTCATGGTGTGCCTCCCTCTCTGTTTTCATCTTATTTTATTTTTCCTTTCTTTCCCCTATGTTCATCTGTTTTGTTTCTTAAATTCCACATAGGAGTGAAATCCTATGGTATTTGTCTATCTCCGACTGACTTATTTCGCTTAGCATAATACCCTCCAGTTCCATCCACGTTATTGCAAATGGCAAGATTTCATTTTTTGATGGCTCCGTAATATTCCATTGTATTATATATACCACCTCTTCTTTATCCATTCATCTGTCAATGGACATTTCGGCTTTTCTTTCATCTGCTCCCGTGTGCGTGTCCTTTGGCCAGATGGGTTTCTTCCTATAATCACAAGTGGCAGGCCAGCCCCCGCCCCCAGCCCAGATGAGGAGGAGGGAGAACTGTAGTCTCTATGAAGTGGAAGACCTGATTCCAGGCAAGAGTAGAGCTCTTTACCGAAGGAAAGCAAGTCTTGGGGGAGACCTTCACTTTCCCCTCAGCCTTCCTCCCAGTCCAGGGAGCTCAGAAACACTGAGAGCCTGGGGCAAGGGCTGGATTCTCCTGTCCTCATCTTCCCAAAAAACACCCCATGGTTTTTGCCACCACAGCACTTTCCCCTGGGCCGGTCTGGCAGGGGGTTCCAGCTCAGGGGAGGGGGGACCCTTTCTGGCGGGAGGTGCTGTGCAGCTAGGTGGGGGCTGCAGGCAGGCTGGTCCCCGCAGGTTTTGCTCACGCTCTCCAGTACGGTCAGTCTGGTCCAGTACACCGGCTCAGTCTCAACAGGGCAGAGGCAGAGAAGAGCAACCTTCCTGATGAAACATTCATCTTCTGGAAACTGTCCCAGGGCTTTGGGTATATTGTGCTTTGCAAAGAACGGTTTTGTGAAAATCACCATTTGGTCTCCTTACTGACCGAGACAGCTGAGCTCGCTCACCGCCTCCACATCCTGTGGCTTGGTGCAGCCTGTGAGCAGGCTGGCTAGCGACCCCAGGGCTGAGCCGTGCCTGGATGCCAGCATCCTGTTCTCAATCTTCCCTCCCGGAGCCCTCCCTATGCCTCATACTTTCTGTCTACCCAACACCCTCGGCTCTAAGGAAAGATAAAATTGCAAATCAGATTTGCCTGTCTCTGTTGGCCTGCAGAAAGACTTTTTATTGGAAACTAATTGGCAAATTCTATTTTAGGGATCGGTGCAAGATTGACCCTTACAGACGCACAGAGGATTATGTGAGAAAGCAGAGCTAGAGAGTTTCAAGGTCAGGGGCACCAGGGTAAGGGGAGAGGTGGCCCCTCCTTCTGCAGCTCACTGCCCAGTTCCTTTTCCCTGATCACTCCCCTCCAGCCATGCCCATTGCAGAGCCCATCAGATTCTCCTGGGATGAAGTGGTCTGTTGGTTCCTTAGAGCTTGTGTTCACTGGGAGCTCACGGTGGAGCTAGATGTGCCTTGCCAGGCTTTATACCACGAACATCACTGCTGATTCTAACAAGACCACACATACCGGAGGTGGGTTTACTCTGAAGCCATGAGGCTTAAGATCAGGGCCGCTCCAAGTCCTGGTTCCTGGCATATTTTCTTTCTCTTAAAAAGAAAGCCCCCTCCAAACCTGGGTCCACTCCTGTACACGTTATGGAGCTTTCCCGTGGCCAAACTGACAACTCATTAAAATAGTAACAAATCCGTGCTCAGCCTCTGAGCCAGGACTATGAAAAACAGTGTCAGTTTACCAGGGGTAAAGCCTAAGGGCTTAAATACATGAAAAACAATTGACCCTGAAGCAATTCATTAAAAAAAAAACTAAATATAAGTCACTCAGAAATATTTTCAAAATGACTATTTTGAGCCCTGACTTGTGTTAACTGACTTCAAGCACCTCTCCTGTATTGATTTCTTTAAACATTTAAAAAGATGACATCTTTCTGAGTATAGTTACGGATATTTCCTTCATTATAGGGACTGCTTTCATATTAATAACTTACTCTCTGGCCCGCATCCCTTCCTACCAGCTTGACCTGTAGCAGTGACGTCAGTGAGCACAATTACCAGGACCATGAACCTAAGTGTTTAACTCCTGCTGCACCCATAACTTTGAAAATAATTTGCCCCATTCAAACCGATTTTCCTTTAGATGACCAACACCATCTGGGGGTACTCAGGGACCAGGTTTTGTTCTACTGGAGTTTGCCCATATAAATCTCCTATTGGCTCCATGGGACAATGGACTTTATCGGATTCCAACCAGGGACTATAATTCTCATAATATTAACTTCGCATGTTTTGAACACCTCCTTCTTAGAAAAGACTCAATGATTGGGAGACACCTAACTTTTTTTTTAAAGGTCAAAGGGTTTCCTCATTTTGCACAATACCAAAATTCCCAGGAGGATGGGCTGATAAACCCTCATGGGCGCAATCTTCCATCTGAGAACTTGGCTGGTATTTTCAAGGTCACTGTGGAGGTGATCCATGAAACGATGTTCTTATACCTCTTCCTTTTCGCCTCTGCTTCTGATACTTATTAGCGCATTTCTTCTTTCTTCTTCCTCTTCTCCCTTCCTTGTCTTCCTTCCCACCTCTCCTCCTAGCTCAGCCTTTCTCAAGCCACCGCCCACCTTCTTGGCTTTTCATGCGCAGACTTCTCTCTCCAACCAGAAGGGGGCGACATCACTGCTTACTTTCTTCTCTGACAACTTGGTAGCAGGGCTTAGCTCCAGCACTAACACCAAGACGCCCTTAGCTGTCTTTTAATGGATCTAGCCACTTACAGAATCTTAAGAGAAACCAACCAAGCACCTGGATATTGGGCAGTGACAATCCATCCACTACAAACGGGAAATTGAGAGACTCATACTATCATTCCAAAACAAC